CATGACAGTAATTCATTACCTTTATAACCCGTTACTCCCAACACTGTAGGTGAGAACATATACCGGTACGTAAATGCTCACATCCAAGCACCGCAGGCAATAAACTACATATGATAATATTTAGCTGAAGAGCACAAGGTCAAACATCTGGGGTGAGTGGGTTTTCAACTTCCAACCTCCTGTTTAGGTACAGTGTGTAACTTTGTGAAGGCGGCACGTCACCTGCATGAGTCCATGGAAAGTTCAAACCAAACTTCATTTGAGATAGATGAGTTTTATGCCAAACTGTGGAGGATTTTAGCCAAAGGAACAACATTTCCATTTCTATTTCCGTTCTATTTCCACGCCAAATAACACACTTTCTAAAATTTGCAATGCAATAAATACAACCAAAATGAAAAACATGTTTTTTTTGGCTAAAAAGTTACATATTGTGCCTTGGAGCAACTGTTCTATCTTTAACAACACTCACATTTTTTGCAGATATTGCCATAAAAGCAAAAACAAAAATATTGATGATGAAGTAAACGCAAACAATTTAATCATATAACAGTATAGTTCACACATTTCTCATTGTCAGAGGTGGAAAGTAACTCATTACAAATACTCACATTAGATTACAGTAATTTAACAATGAGAATTTATACATTTATTTTTAGATTTATAAACATGCACTTCTACATTTTTCTGATATATTTTTAAATCATAAGAATTCAGCCCATGACTCCATCTGCTCCTCTCCACAAACACACATAACAGCACTCAGAGAATATGTGGTTTAAAGGGACAGTCCAGAATTTTGGACATAGGACCTCATTTCCTCGTGAGCCAGAGTGTTGGAGACGTGTGGAGACACTTTTTTAAATATTCCATCCAGTCCTTGTATTGGCAGAGGTCGCTAGAGGAGCTAGAGCGGAGCCAGAGCTAACGATTATAAAGTATTTTTTAAAACAACAGAAGGATTTTGAGCTGAGAAATAGTTTATGATCTAAAAATAGGGAAAAATCACCACAAAAGCTGACATTTTTGAAAGTTGTAGGTGCCTGTCAGCCGAACACGTTTTGTGCTCTATGAAAAAAATCCTTTCTTGGCCCAGGGAGAGCAGAGAGGGCTGGAGTGAGGACCAGCCTCCTCCGCGGGACGTCCACTGGGGGTTTTAACCGTTCACTCGGGAACAGCACAGACCCCAAGACCCGAACACGTGCTTCCCTCTGTGATTTGAAAATTCTTTGACAAACTTTGCTGCTCCGGACTGTCCTTTACAATACACAATACAACTTACAGTTTATCTAATCATATTTTATGTAAAACACTGACATAAAGCGCTACTAAACTTGTACTTTGAGTAGTAATTGTTATCCATACTTTTTACTTTTTCTTAAGTACAATTTTGTCTGCCGCACTGTACTTTTTGACACATGTAATTACCGTATTTTCCACACTATAGGGCGCTCTGGATTATAAGGCGCACTGTCATTGAATGGTCTATTTTCAAACTTTTTTCACATATGAACCGCATCGGACTTTAAGGCGCATTAAACGAAACACAACAGTTAGAAAAGTCAGTCAAACTTTATTTAACACGTTCACAAAAAATAACACAATAACTCATAATTGTTCAGTTATAACTAAAACATAACACATTACACTCACTTTTTCAGTTCGTTCCTCGTCCACAAATCCCTGAAATTCTCCAGCACGCCCACATCCCTCTCGTCATTAGCCAAGTCAGTGTGGTTCCTGTTCCCTGGCAGTTCAGGGATGATTCTGGTCTTGGTGAAAGCTCGGACCACAGTTGATACTGATCCTTAGCCCGGGCATCCACGATCCTTCGGCAGATCGTGGCGTAAGTCGCTCGGCGCCGTCTCCCTGTCTTGGTGAATGTGTGTTCTCCTTTTCTCATCCACTGCTCCCGCGCAGCTCAAACTTTAACTTTATAACAGCCTTGAGTTTAAAGTGGGCATTGTGAGCATGTCTCTTGACAGGTGCATTTTGATATTAAAAGGAATCACAGTATGTATTACCGTATTTTCCGGGCCATCAGACACGCTCTTAAGCCTCTTACCGCATCAAAAAACGACCGCGCCCCACAATCCAGAGCGCCCTATACATGAATCCACTCAGGTGTCCCAAAACGACTTCAGTAAACTTCAAAGCCGCACCACCTGCAGCGCACGCAAACACACACGGAGCAGACAGCGACCGCACAGCGAAAAACACCCACAGCCACACTCATCACTCCACGCCGACGAGGAACGGAGGAACGAACCGAAAAAGCGAGTCCAATGTGCCAATCTGAGCCACAACTGAACAACTGAGCCACTGCGAACACGCCGACAATCCAGCGGTCCCAGACAGCACCCTCCCTACACGCCACAACTGAACAAAGCCCAGAGTCACCGTGAACGCCACAAACAAAGTCCCACTGACCCATCCAACTGTTGTGTTTCGTTTAAAGTCCAGTGCAGTTTATTTGTGAAAAAAGTTCGAAAATAGACCATTTAATGACAGTGCGTCTTATAATCCAGAGCGCCCAATAGCCTGGAAAATACGGTACTCCGCGATGCTCCTGACTATGGGAGCCGTAATGCTGCAAGTGGAGCAGCTTTATAGTTTACTAAAGTCATACTAAGACACCCTAATAAATTCATATATAAGGCGCTCTGGATTATAAGTCGTTTTTGGATGAAATTAAAGGCTTTTAAGTGCGTCCTATAGTGCGGAAAATACGGTATACTATTACTTTTACTTTTGACCACACATTTGAAGTACACTTTACACCACTACTATAGCTTATGTGTGATTTCCAAACAAAACGTCTCTCCAGATGACCCTAACCTGTCCACAGTTCTGATGTAACCTAATCTTTAACCATCACTCTTCTCCTCCAACAGACCCCTGCTCTCCTCCTCCCTCCTCTCTCCTCTCTTCCTCCCTCCTCTCGTCTCACTCAGGTGGGACTGTTGTGTGTGCGCACGCCTCTGCTTTAGTCATTTATGGATGTCTCTCCTGGGTCCGCACATTAATCACACACACTCTTCAGCAGAGCAAAAGAAAGCACAGAGCTCAAGTGGACAGACAGTGTGGAGAGGGGAGAGCGACCGGTATATCATCACTCCAACCTCTACTGCATGGATAGCGTGGGCTTTTAGAGTGGATACTTTTACTTTAATCTATTTTACTTCAATGTTTAATAAGTTTTAGCTGTTTTCTTTAGCTCATGTGTGTTTGAGAGTGTTTGAAAGTTGATAGATGCAGGTCTGTGTTTGTGTTGTCTGTGGGATCCATCTTCAAAGCTTCTTCAAAGTGAGGAGTTACTAATTTATTTCTGTGGGTTTGTATCATAGGAGCAAGTTTATTTAGTGCTTTACAGAATTAGAAGGACATTAAAACCCAAATACAAACAGAACAGAACATAAGTAATCATCATAAAATTAACATTAAAATAGACAAGAGAAGTGAACAGAATAAAAACCTTTCAGTAATAGAATGTTGAGCTACACACTTTACTTTGAATTGAGTTTACAGCGGAGAAGAAGTTCACTCTCGGCATCAGGTTATGACAAATACAGCCATGGGTTTACAAAACAGTCATTATTTTACAGAGAATTCTACATACACTGTGAAAAACAAAATCTAGTCAAGTTAAGTTAAAAATTAAGGAACTTTCATCACGATTTGAGTAAATTTCACTTCACAAGTAAAATTATCTGCCAACGGATTAAGACTTTTTGCACTTAAAATATCAAAATACATCTTGCTACACTTAAAATAAGAAAAACAACAACTTTTTGCATTTCAAATAAGAAACAAAATCGAGTGTTGCTTGAATTAAGAGAAACACACTTATGCCATTGGTAGATAATTTTACTTGTCAAGTTGAATCGACTCAAATAAAGTCAAATGTTCTTAATTTAAGTTATTTTAACTTACCTAGATATTACTTTTATATTCCAGTGTAATGCTCCCTTAAACATTACACAAACATGGAATCAACACGTGGATAAGTAAACAATGCAAAGAAACACTTATGGAAAAGTTATTTCATGATTAATCAATGTGCATTTTGTCTAAATTAGAATAAAGTAAGTTAAATCTTGGACCTAATATGTGGACTATATAACACAATAACTGAATTCATAGTACAAAGAGACAAAGACAAAATAACCAACTAAATAAATATTAAAAACATTGTGGATTTTGAGACATGTCTTAATTGTTCAGAATAAACCTGTTGAACTGTGTGATTTTGTACCAATATGGAGCAGATATGCATAACCATTTACCAGAGGTGGGGATTTGCAAGAAGTGACTTGGACTCGAGTCAGACTTGAGTCACTGTTTTTAGGACTTGAGACTTGATAAAACGGACTAAGACTTGGGACTCAACTTGAACTTGAAGGTCAGTGATTTGGGAGTTGACTCGGACATGAGCCCTGTGACTTGCGAAGACTTGAGAAGCACTTTTAAATCTGAATTGTTTCTATTCTGACCGTAATGATTCACTCTAAGATCTTGTCAATACAATAAAAAAATAAATAAATAAATAAAATACTACTCTTTTAAATTCTACTACTCTTATATAAATACTCATATATAAAAATGCCATGACTGTTTACAATTTAGTTTAAAAGTAATACAAATTGCAAAAATCTAAGCTATATTTGGTACTTTGGCTTAAAAACTTGAAATGACTTAAAGCAGACGACTTGGACTTGACTTGGACTTATGCGCCAGTGACTCGAGACTCGACTTGGACTTGCCTGTATTTGACTTGGGACTGGACTCGGACTTGAAGCCAAAGACTTGAGACTTACTTGAGACTTGCAAAACAACGATCCCACCTCTGCTGTTTACCATGACGCTTCTAAATAAAAACTTTAAAACTTACGCGTAATAATGGCACTAAGGTTTTACGCACGGTGTGTCCTAGCTGTCCGTGAACGCAGCACAACTGTAGGTGCAGCGCAGCTCAGCCTCAGCGCAGAGGAGAGCGGAGAGGGCTGGAGAGAGGACCAGCCTCCTCCGCGGGACGTCCACCGGGGCTTTTAACCGTGCACTCGGGTACAGCCCACTCCGGCGCGGGATGGACCCCAAGCCCCGAGCACGCGCTTCCCTCTGTGACCTGAAGCTTCTTTGACAAACAGCGCAGCTCAAAGGAGGAGGAGGACTTTACGAGCGGCTTGATTCGCTCGGAGTTGGATTCAGACAGTTCCACGTGGATGACTTCACTGACACTTTTACGTCTCGAGAAGCTGTCGCCGTTAAACATGCGCCGCACGTCACGTCTCGCGCTATTCTCCACGCACACTTGCAGCCCGCGCGCGCCCTGCACTGCGTGAGTGAGCCAGAAGCATGCCGCTGGTGGCGTGGGTCCCGCTGGGTCTGCTCCTGGGCTTCATCACCTCGCAGACGTGGAGCGTTCACATGCCGTGGGAGAACCGGGGCTCGCAGCCGCACATCGTCTTCATCCTCGTGGACGACCAGGGCTTCAGGGACGTCGGGTACCACGGCTCCGAGATCAAGACCCCCGCCATAGACCGGCTCGCGGCGCAGGGGGTCAAGCTGGAGAACTACTACGTCCAGCCGCTGTGCAGTCCGTCCCGCAGCCAGCTCATGACCGGCAGGTAACTCAACCCTGCAGATCTCTGATTAGAAGAGCCTAATAGACCACATCGTTATCCTCTACGTAAATCATCGTGTTATTGGATCTTGGACTGACGTAATGACAACATAATGAAGTAATGAACCGTAATTACCTGATTTGGTGATAGCAATAAAATCTAATACCATCATTTATCTATTGGATATGACCAAATAATAATAGACACCTGTCACAGAGCTGCTAATTTCACTTCCAAACTCAAGTAGTAATTCGAACACCACATTTTTCCATTTTTTTTACTGTTTATTGTTGACCAAAACTTAACTTCTGATTCATGAAAGTGTCCGTCTTTGGCAGATATAACAGCTGAACACACTCGTGGCTTATTCTTTTTACAGTAGAAATCAAATATTCTTTAGAAAGTTCTTCCCAAGTCTGTTGCAGAAGTTCTCATAAATGTGTGGCACTTGTAGGTTTCTTGGCTTTCACTCTTCTGTTCAGTTCATCCCAAACCAGCTCGTTGGGGTTTAAGTCTGGACACTGTGCTGGACACTCCATGTTTTCCAGTTTAACATCTTGTTCTTTTTTTCCTGAGGTAGTTTTGGCAGAGCTTGGACTTATGTTTTGTATCTTCTATCTTTTTTTTAACCTCTGTCTGTTCAGTTCTTACCTTTGTGCCATTTCAAGCTCTTCATTGGACTTGCACGACTTGAACTGCAATAAATAACTGGAACAATTAGGGTGTTTGAAAACTTTTGACCGGTAGTGTAAACTTTTTTGGTGGAGGTTTTGCCATCTGCTTGTCTCGGGTTTTACTGACTTAAAAACGTGTACTCTTAGGCTACGTTTAAACGACGACAGTCTGAGCAGAAGATGCAAAAGTGATGTCGTGTCTTCACTTTATACATTTCTGCATTTAGATGAGCGTTTTTGGGAGGAAATCTGCGTGCATACAGTGACGCAAAAGTGTGTGGAATTCAATTGGGTATGCATGCCAGGTTTCTGTGTACTGTATGTACGTGACGTAAACGTGTACGCGACCTGAGCAGATCTGACCAGAGTTTTGCGTCTTGGGCAGTGTCGACGGAAACGGTTTATCGGAGCGTATTCAACTTTTCAGGTTTCAGATTTTTGCGTTATTAAGCCCCAAAAACGCCATCACCGTCTAAACGAAAGGCACTTCTGATAAAATATTTTGTAATTTTTACCCGTAAGAGTTCTCGTGTAAACAGGACATTACTGTGAGTGGGCTCGCCTTTCCGCAGATCTGACATGTAACTTGGCCCTATAGGCGTCACCTGTTGCCTCCGTAGATGTAATTAAGTGTAATGCCATACTTCGGAACATTCCTGGCAACATCTAAATGGAGAGAAGCAGGTGACGGACCCTCCAACAAAAAAAGCTACAAATTGCGCCTTCAATATTCTGTCTTAAAAAAATTACACCTGCATAGTGGGCAGATGTTTTTGTCATGTTTGCAGCTCAGTTGTAAGAGCACGGTGGTTCAATCCCAGCTCCTCCATGCTGTTGTTGTATCCTTTGGCAAGACACTTTGCAGATGCAGATTTGGATGTGGTCCTTTACTCTGATGGAAAAGCACTTCCAGTTTCCTAAGGAGGTGGAAAACTGCTCTATACATCTTTTGCAACCATCCATTTAGATTGTACGCATCTAATACCCCGTTATAATTTATGTTCTGTCTTCCACCGCAACTGTAATAAAACTTATATCTACTGTAAACCTATAGGAGCCACTATTTGTTTTTCCTGGCCTCCAAAACCCGCCTTTCCGTTGTCTGAAATTGTGCATAATGTTCTGAAATGTAAAGTATTGTTAGAGCTATCATCGCTCACGGGGCCATTACACATCCCACATGGCCAGAATCAAACCAAAGCACCCGAATACCCCCTGACAACCCAATCCTTCAATCCTCCAGTAGTTTGAATATCCCGTTACACGACCCATGGGCTGTGAAATTGTACTTTTGGCAGCTGTGGTAGTACTCGCGTTGGTCCTCGGCGGGTGACAGGAAGCTTAAGGTTGGTCCTCCTCTCCTGATGGGGGGGCATGTGGTCTGGCTTTGTACTTTTTGCTTCATGTGAGTAGTATCAGCAGTTTCCCGTGTGCACAGCAGGACTCCTCTTCCACATCTGCTCCAGAGCTCAGCTCCTGCGGGCCGGTCCTGCTGGCAGGGTACAGTGCGGCTTTGGCACGGGTCCGAATGGGTAATGAGCAAAGTGCAGCCACCCACGCTCACCAGGTTTGAAAAGGTGCCACGTAGGTAACAGAGAATATGTGCTCGTAAAAGTGAGTTTAATGTGTCTTAATGTACAGGTGATGCATAAATGATTCAGTTTAAAACATAAGCTTTGTTAACATACAAATTTAAGTTTCTGATATTTTAATTAAGCAATGTTTTCCCATCATCAAATACATTCCTGGAGTTGTATTTCTTCATTGATGCTTGTTTCATGAATCCATTAATCCAAAGTCGCCTTCTCTGAACATTTTTCCTGGATTGTTAAGTATATTCACGCCAGACTGCTATGTGGCTCACTCTGACTTGAGCTGTACACATTATCAGTCTGCAATGCCTTTTACTGCGTCAGACGACTGTTTGAATCTGATTGGTTAAAGCATCATAACAGCAGAACAGAAAAGTCAAAAAATCGAACTTTTGTTACATCCACTGAGCGAAAAGCGCAGACATTTCTATCCACAAGTGCACTGTTACGTTTGGGCACTTTTTGGTTTTTCCCTGTTTTCTTTTTCTTGTTTATATTTTTTGTAGCATTTCTGCCTAGTTTTGTTGTTGTAAGTTAGTTATGTTTTTGTAGTTTTTTTGTACTCATTTCTGGCAGGAGGCCTTAAATACGCGAGCCCGGCACCACCTCTCTCTCTCTCGCTCTCTCCTCCTCCTTCGTCGCCGCCGCAGGTGCCGGAGCGCGCACGCTTGGCGCTGGGAGCCGCCCTGCTGGCTCCCCTGCTCCATTGGTCGGGTAGCTTTTTTGTTAACCGTTAGCTTTTTGTTTTGACCTGGTGGGACCGGCTGTACTGTATTCGCTTTTTTGCTGGGTTTAGGTTGTTGTGTTTTTTTTTGGTCTTTAGATACGGGTGCTGGCACCGACTCCTATGGCCCTGTATAGGATTGGCCCAGTGTCGCACCCTTTTGTTCTTTTTGGCCGGCTCATCAGGTCCACCTTCCGTTGTTACTTTTTTGGTTTGGGTAGGGTTTCTTTTTTTGGGGTTAAAACCATCTCTACACAAAGGAAAAAATAAAAGAACTCTATCCTTGAATTTGGCCTCCGTGTCCTTTGATAAATATGTTGAGACCCATGTTTGTGGATCGTAACACGCACAAAGCTCTTATCTTCTGCAATTTTCACAAACTAAATAGTCTGTACTGACGCTAATATAACCTGAAGTATGTGTGTCAGATTCACAATCGTTGTTTTGGTTCATTTAGACGCTTCACCTTTAGCTTCCTCACAAACCTCAATGCTGTGATGTGATTGGTCCAGTTGCCCAATGAACCTAAAGGCGGGCGCAAGTTTGTCACAGGTTACAGATTGTTGCATCATAGGGAAAACTTCAGACTTCTCCTGCTCAGATTCATGTCCATAAACCATCACTGAACTCGTACTGTAGTCAAATTGTGTTCACAACTACTGGCTCAATTAGCGTGGCATTCACTGAGTCTAAGAGCTTACTTTGTTTAGTTTCTCATTGTTCGTTCCTGTTGCTGACAGCAGAGGAAGCTCCGACGCCCAAATACCTCACTGGAAACGGAAGTGAAGTTTATAAAATGTGTTTTCCAAATGTACATATTATTGCAAGTTAGACCAAAAGCAGAGAATTAAAGCTACAAGCGTGCACAGTATTTGTTCTGTAAGGATTATATGAATTGTTGTATGATGGCACAACAGTGTGGAGTTTGCATTTTTGCCCCAGATCTTGATTGTTATCGACTTGTGCTCTTGATGTTCATCCTCGGTGACTCAGATTCAAACTATGAGGACACGAGCTTTAAAAGGAACTCAAAAATCATGACTTACAACCAATAAATCAGCAAAATCACTTGATGACTGTTTCAAATAGTTCAGTTGCGAAGAATATGAAGGAACATTTCATCATTATTTATTGTTTGCTTATAGAGACATAATAGAGCCACCAACACTGTTCTGTATCTTGTCTCCTCACATGTGCGTTCACTTAAAAAGGCTACGCACGCACAACGCCTTTACAAGCTACAGTTAAGACTGCGAGCCATTATGAGTGATCAGAGATTGTACAGCTGGGAGTCATTTGTCTCTTGTTGTGTTCAGTAAGCATTATTATCAGCGCTATTTGCATGTGCACTTACAGTTCAACTTGTTTGCGTTGGTAAAACCCAGAAAATCTTTGTCAAATACATGATATTTCTGAATATTTCAACTTAAAACCAGTGAACAAATTAGAATTGTTTTGGTCTAACTATTGTATAATATCGTTTCTTGCAATAAACTTCAACCAAATTGCACATTTTGACTGGATTATTGGAGCTAGAATTGTTACGATACTAAAACTTTAAGCTTGATTTCAATACTAAGGAATAGAACCGATACTCACTACTGATTCCAATACCACAAAACAATCTTTCTTTAGACAACAGAATGTGGTTTACTTGTGGCTTACTTTCATATTACCATGTGGTCTTTTATCTGTGTAATCCCTCAGTTGTTCAGGTATGTTCCTGTGTGGTCCAAGGGTGTATCATTCTTAAGATGTTCAAGAAAGGTTCATTTCTGTTTTGTGAATATAACTTTTTAGTATCAATCCTTTCTCAAATGAGTACCTACTTTTGATACTTTTTGATAACTTTATGATAAGTTTTAATATTAATTAGTATCAGATTTTCTACACTTTTGCCAGCCCTTATTGGAGTTATAGCATACTCAAAGAACTATAGATACAGCTTTTTTCATGACCAATTCCAATACTGCTTGTTTAGAATCTAGAGGTACTGATGTCCAGTAAGCTCTG